TTTTATTTAGCCTGCTTGGGACTTGTTTGAATTTCTTAAATCAGTGTATTGGTGTCTGTAATGATTAATCTTCTGTGTCCAGGTGCCCCTCATGCTTGTCCAAACTATGGTGCCTAACACTAGTCTAAATGTCTCTGTGAGGGTATCTTGTGATGTGCTTACCATCACTAGTTAGAATCAGTAGACTTTAAGTAAAGCAGGTTACCCACCAGAATGTGGGTGGGCCTATTCCATCAGTTGAAGGCCTTAAGAGCAAAAACTTAGGTTTCCTGGAAGAAGAAGGAATCTACCTCAAGACTACCACAGAAATTTTGCCCCAGGTTCTACCCTGCTGGCAGGCCCTGTGAACTTTGGACTCAAGATTGTAACTTCAACTCTTGCCTGAGTTTCCAGCCTGCCATCCTGTCCTGCATATTTCAGACTTCCCAGTCCTCACAATCATGTGAAGCAATTCCTTAACACCCATCCCCTTTGGCCGGGGGAACCATGACAAAAACAGTGTTAAGTCAAGCCTGGAACTCCTTGGCCATTCCCGTTTTTGTTTTTTTTTTCAGGACTCACATTGAGATTTAAGGTTTACTTTCTCGCTCTATTTTCTGTTTATTTACCTCTATATAGTTTCTATTTCTTTATTTCTCAGTTAGAATTTGAGTAATTTCTTTAGATTGATTTCCAAGTCAATGATTTTGTCAGCTGGGCCTGATTTATTGCTAAACCCATTCCTTGAGTTTTAAATTTAGTCACTATATATATATACTTTTTCCCCCAGAAGTTTTGATTTTTTTCAGATATGCTTAGGCATTCAGCATAGTGTTTTCAACATGCATTTTCAAGTTTGCCTTTTATTTCTATAAACATATTAAATATAGTCATTTATAGTTGTGATAATTCCATTATCAGAAACCCTCTGGGTCTGTTGATGCAGCCTGTTGTTTCTGCTAAACCTCACTTACGGTGTCTTGTTTCTTTGAATACTCAGTCATTGTTGACTGAAATCTGCTCATTTTCCTTTGACTTTACAGAGATCACTACCAATTAAATTCTCAATCATATTTTCTTGTGGATTTGGGCTGCAAACTCATAAAGTTTAGCTCATGCTTCCTAATATTTTTGAAGATTTATTTAGAGAGAGAGAACATGTGCACGTGCAGGGTGGGGGCAGAGGGAGAGGGAGGGAGAGAATCTCAAGCAGACTCCCTGCTGAGCTCGATCCCAGGACCCCAAGATCACGACCTGAGCCGAAATCAAGAGTCAGATGTTCAACTGACTGAGCCACCCAGGTGCCTCTCGTGCTTCCTAATTTTAGGGGTGAATTTTCCCAGTTTTATTGGGGGCTTGAGATAGTCAACTTTTCTTGCAACCTCCTGGGAAAGAAGGTGGGAACAGCTGGGTTTGTTTCTATTTCACGCTCATTATCTCCAAGGGTGTAATTGGGGCTCCAGTTCTGTGGAAGAAGGATTTCTTGATAGACTTTTCACCTGGGTGGATCCTGGGCTTGATCTCTTATACCTTAGATTTTGGAAGGATGTGAAACCAAAGCTCAGCCAAGCTCACCTGTTTCAAAAAGTCCTTTCAGGGCTCTGCTTACATCTCTGAATTTCCACATCCACTCAGGTCCTGGTCCAAGGATGCTTTACCTTTTGGTCAGTTCAATGATGTTTCTAAGAAGTTATTTATTCTAGATTTTTAGTTGTTTTCAGTGGAAGGAATAATCCAGTTACCTAGACACTCCATGTTATTGGAAACTGAGGTGCCTATATTTTTAAATGGTAAACCTTGCATTTCTGGGATAAACCCAAATCTGTCATGATATATTATATATATATCATGTACATATAACATTGTTGAAATGAGTTTACTGATATTCTGATTTTTTTACATCTTTTATAGTGGAGAATGTCCTGTAACTTTTCCTTCTTATCCTACCCGTGACTGATTTTTTAAAAATCCTGGTAATACCACTCTTTAAAATGAGTTGGGAGTGTTCCCTCCTTCTCTTCTACACCAACATCCAGAGAGCAAGAGAGGATGGGACTTGCCCAAGGACACATACGTTTTACGGCCCAGGTCAGGACTAATGTCTCCTGTCCCTGAACCCAGGGCTCCTTTGGAACCATCACTGCCACCCAGCCACACAGAAGGCATACCTTGGTCACCACCTCTGCACTGAGTGCCCAGGTCAGGAAGGTGCTAAGTGAAAGAGTGGAAAACAGAAGTATAAATGGATGGATGATGGATGATGGATGCATGGATGCATGGATGCATGGATGCATGGATGGATGGATGGATGGATGGATGGATGGAAGGATGATGGATGGATGAGCATTCCCCACTCTGAGCTCTGTAGACCATCATGAAGTGAGTCAGTGCTTACACCCAGCCTAGAGCCACCTGCTTAGCTCCATTCTTCAATGACTGGGAGGTCCCAAGATCTTTTACCCCAGCTTCCCCATCTGTGCCCTTTAGGCTCTGACCAGAGTAAACATGCTCAGCATGTTGGTCAGCCCATGGCAAATGCAGGATATCCCTATCCTAGACAGCAAGATCAGGGCTTCCTTACCTGGATTGTGCCAAGGCTCTGGGGCTCAGGTGGAGAGGGGTCTTTGGAGTGTGTGGTGGTGGAAGTGGGTTCCTGTCACCTGTCCTCCCAACTACTGCTGAGATGGCCATCAGCCAAACCAAGGTGACTCATGGAGGCTTGGGTCTGTGTTCACTGTGGACACTTCCACAGTGTCACATGGCGTGGGGTCTGGTCCTTAAAGCACTGCAGATCCCCCCGGAACCTCCCTCCTCCCCATCCTTGAGTTGGGGAAAGCCCTTCCTCTCCTCCCTGCCAGGTTCTCACTTCTTGCTGCGCCCCTGGCATCATTCTCACTGAGTTTACACTTTTGAAAATAAAGCCAGGAGAAGAAGCTATCTTCAGGCAGATTCTGCTTCTGCCCTGTAACCTGCACCCTCCAGCCAAGGGGACACGGCAGAAATGACTTCTTGGAACTGGAAAAGAAAAATGGTCTGGGAATGAAATACAAATGGCACCTCAAGAAGTCACCCTGCCCCACCGGCTCTGCAGAGTTTGCGGGGCTGGAGCTTCTCGTAAAGGCTTCCCAACAGTGGGCCTCCCTTCCCGGCTCCACCTTCAGTGACATCACAGCAGGAGCCTGAAAGTGAGCGGAGCAGAGTGAGTGCGAGTGAGCGTGGACAATGGCAAATGCTACAATTCAGGGAATGTCAAACATTTACCAGCACAGCCCTGGGCAGGAGCCATGGCTAATAGCAGCAGAGATGGGAGGGGCTGGGCTGAAATCCAGAGTTGGGATAAAGCCAACAAGAGTCCCTCTTCTTTGCCAAGTTTATTTTATTAAAATATACAGGACTGAATATTGGTGGGCGCTGAGAACAGGAACCACCCTCCCAGGCTGCACCCAAGGGAGACGCTTCTGCCATGCAGACATGCGGCCAGTCTGCATCCCAGGGTGGGAGACAGACCCCTCCTGCTTGGGCGTGCAGCCAGTCTGGCCCCAGGCCAAGAGGGGCAAGGGCGTGGTGGTGACCCTCTCCTATGGCTTCGGCCCGTTACAAGCACAGCTACGCCAGCTGGGAGGGCTGGGCTGGGGGTGGGGGTGGGCAGAGGGGGAGAAGATCCCTGAGCCAGGGAAAGCTGATGCCCTCCTGGAGGAGAGAAGAAAGAACCCCCCCCAGTCAAACTGGAGATGGGGTGTCAGTATAATTCTGAGGGAGAGGACCACCTGTGTGTGGGTGCCAAGGGGTCCCCGTGGCCAAACCAGGCCAATCTCCATGGCCTCCGCCCTTCCACCTTTCCTTTGAGGGCCCTGCTCACCCCTGGGCCAGGCCTGAGCAGAGAGGGGGTGGCAGCCGGTGGAATGTATCGTATGGGAATGTTCCTCAGGCCCACGCTACCTGGGACTGGGTTCCTTCTTGGGGAGTCCTGGGCAGATAAAAGCAGCCTCTCTCTCTTTCCTGGGGGTTTCTGTTGACCTACCACTCAGTCTCAGGCCCCTCAGCCCTCACTCTTGGCTCTGCCTTCAGGCTGACATCAGCCTCCATCCTCAGAGCAGAACCCAGACAAGGGGAGTCCCTACGATTTGTGCTTTTGAATGTTGGTGAGCTGGGCTGGGCTGAGGATGGGCTTTGAGCCCGCATGGCTCTGAGGCACAGAACGGATCCCCATGCTTCTTCTCCAGAGCTACCTGTATTGGGGGCCACCGTGACCCAGGCCTCAGCCCACTAGGAGGGCCCGATCTTGGAAAAACAGAGTGTCCTTGGCTCCCTTTGTGGGCTGCAACCTGAGCTGCTCTGGGTGCTTGTGCTTTTTGTATGGGGTTGGGTGAGCCTGTGTATAGAGGGATGGCCACATTGCTCTAGGACCCTAACCAGAAAGTGGTAGGGGGAGCTCATCCAAGCCGGGGGCCAAGGGAGACAGGAGCTGACAAGAAAGGAGGGAGAAGCCCCTTCTCAGGCCGGCTCTGCCACCTGGGCTCCCAGGCTGCCAGTCCCTGATCCTTGTGACCTCTTCTTAGAACGTATTATGACCTTGGGGTTGAACGCTCTAGGCCTGAGGGGTATGGGCAGCCCCACCCACTTCATTCCCACTGAGCTAGGACTGAGGCAAGGGAAGCCTTCTTCCATTTCAGTGGCCTTGGCAGATAGTTCCCCTAAGATTCTCCACCAAGAAAACCAATTCCTGAGCTTGAAAGGACGGAGAGAGTCCAGTGGCCCCTTACCACTGGAGCTTGCCAATGGAGTGGCAGGCATCCTGGGACCCCAGGGAAATGTTTCCAGAAAACAGCAGGCTGTCTCCATTACTACCTCTTTCCTCGTTCCAACTCTCTTGACCCTACTGCCAGCCAAGTGTCCTGTGGTGACAAGCTTTCTGGGAGTGTAGTCGGGCGGCAGGGGAGTAGCTGGGGGACAAGAAGGCCAGAGCAGCCCCCCACAACCTGGCTGATGTGTGGTGGGAAAGAACGGTGGCAGGAGGGAGGGGCGAGAGGACTCACACCAGCGGGGCCTTTGTTTTGGAGACTGGACCCACTCCTGTAGGGGATCTTGAGTGCTTTCCTGGCAGCACCCCGTGGCCAGCAGCCTGCACACACGGCTCTTTCAGAGGCACCCACTCCAGAGGCAGCCCCACTCCACTGCTGGCCGGGGGCTGGTCGGGGGCTGGCCGGGTGGTTAGCTCTCATCACCTGGATCCAGCTCCCAGCCAGACTCAGCTCCTCCCTGACCTCTGCACCCCCTCTACCAGCCCAAAGGAACGGCTCTGTGTGTGTATGTGTGTGTGTGTGTGTGTGTCTAGAGCAAACTGTTCACTTTTTGCAAATATATTAGAAAAAAGTTTCTCATAGAGGCTGCTCCTGCAGGACTGAGATTTCTCTGGGGGCAGAGGTGGTGGTGGCCACTCAAGGACCCCTCCCCACCGACATGTCCTAGATGACGTTCTCAAACAGCTGCATGGAGCTCATGATGTTCTCATCCTGTGTGGAGAGAGAAGGAGGAGAGGCCTGGTCAGACCCCGGGTGGGCAGGGCGGGGCCGTGCCCAAACTGATCCTACCTTGAGCAGATTCTTGCCAGGGACTCAGAGCCCTGCAGTGACCACTCTGTCTCCCCGGGTGAAGAGGCAGCTGGTCAGGCACAGCCTCTCTTCAGCCCCAGAGCCTGACTGCAAGCGCATCTGGGGGCTGCTGACTCGCGGATGGACAGACTTCCCTGGCTGCACTCAGATGGAGGCCAGAGGCACCCGAGAGGCCGCTCTGGGACTGATGCGGATGGCTAAGGCCAGTGGAGGCACATGTCATGGCCCCCAAGGGTTCTCTGAAGAGGAAGGTCAACAGTAAGGCTGGGGGAGGCTCCAGGCGCCTTTCTCACAGTGTGGCCCCATGCTGAGGGCCCCAGGGCCCAACCATCCTCCTGTTGGTCCACGTCTGCCCCTCTGATGCTTCACATCAGAGGGCATCTGAAGGATGGTGTGCCCGTGGGCTGTGGGCTGGCAGGAGCAGGTGGCAAAGGGATGGGTTCAGACAAAGGTGTGAACATGGAGTTTGGAGGTCGGGAGGGGCTTGGGGACTGGCAGGGGCAGGACCCTGGGTGTCCTCAACTCCTGATGCCCACCTACCTTCTGACAGGTCTCCAGGAACTCATCAATGGTCACCACCCCATCCTGATTCCGGTCCATTTTCTGTAACCCAAGCCATGTCCTCAGTGAGTCTGTGGGTCCCCTCCATCCCAACCTGTCCCCCTGTCTTCTACCCTGGATCCAGGCCATGTAAAGGGCCCCCCCCAGCTATCTCCGTGGCACAGCTGACCTCTCTGGCACCTCCCCAGTCTGCTCCCCACACCCAGCCACTTCCCAGCACCTTTCTTGGGCTTACACTTCCCAGAATGCATCCCCATGCTCATCTGACCCCCTCACCTCCCTGAAAGGCAGCCAGGGCAGATGGAGCAACCAAGGCACAGGATGGGCCACCAGCAAATGGGAGGTGGAAACTTCAGCCCCTTTCGGCCTCGTGGACACAGAGCAAGGTCACCCCAACCCCACTCCTCTTGCACAGTTTTTCTGGAGGGGCTGAGAGAGCTCATGGGAGGCACCAGAACGCTGGCCTGGGGTGTCAACTGCCCTGGAATCCACAAGCCCTGGACTGCCCTGAGATGAGGCTCAGTGGATCGGGGAGTGGGGGTGATGTTTTAATTTGCTCCCCAGGATCCTGACAACCAGCCCAGTGGGGGATGCAAGGTTAACCTCCTCATGGGGGTAGGAGGGCTCAGAGAGGGGAGTCACTTGCCCAGGGTTGTCCTAAGACGGGGAGCCCATCCCTCCTTCCCCTCAGGGTCCGGGGCTAGAGCTCTCACCTGGAAGAACCGCTCCACATGCTCCAGAGGAGCGTCCTCCCGCAGGATAGGGTAGGTGTGGCGGCCCATCATGTCGTAGATGGACTTCATAATGGCCAGCATCTCCTGGAGGGGGGCCGGAGTGGCTGGCGTGAGCTTTGCTGCAAGGACGTGGGGACGTACCAGAGCCCAAGGGGAGGGGCTGCGTTGAAGGGGGGAGGGCACCTCCAAGGCAGCAGTGAGTGAGCAGGGGTGGCGCCCCAGGTGAACGGGGACAAGCTCACCCCCATCTAGTGCACTCAGCGCAAGCCTCCGACTCGCCAAAGCTAGAGATCACTTCTGATGTGCCATCTCCAAAATTTGAAACTGTAGCGACTATTTCATATACCAAAAAATGTTTGGGCTAAACAAAACCTAACTGTAGGCCAGTATGGCGAGGGCCCCCGCCTGCCTTCAGGGAGCACACCGCCCCCTTGACTGGTGGGAGCCAAGGCCAACTCCTCCTACCCTCTGTCCCCAGCTTCTCCACCTAGATTTCCCTCAGGACCTCCCTGTGAGAAAGAATGGCCTGAGAACATTTGTCGAAGTAGATCAAGCTGCGTGATGAGGGGCACACAACAAGCACCATGCTCCCTGCACCCAGGTGTCCAGGACCAAGAGCCTGGACAGGGGGAGAGCCCCCAGGCTGCTGTCCCCTCCAGGGTGGAGCTGAGAGCCATGTCTCTGAGCAGGAAAGGGAGACAGGGCAGCCAGGGCAGCAGGGGAGTGGAGAGAGGCTGGGAGTATGGCGCAGCAGCGGGGAAGCGGGCCAGGTGGCCCCCGCCCCCCCGCCCTGTACCTCTTTGGTGATGTAGCCGTCCTTGTTGATGTCGTAGAGGTTAAAGGCCCACTTGAGCTTCTCGTGGACTGTTCCTCGCAGGAGGATGGAGAGGCCAACCACAAAGTCCTACGGAGGGAGGGGAGGGTGAGGAGTGACAGCCCAACGTCCAGATTTCATTTCCAGTTTGCTGTGTGGCTTCACACTTCACACCTTCACAGGTGAGGCAGCTTCATTGCTGTGCCAGCAGATGGTGTCCATTAGGTCAACACAGTGTGAGGGTATGCATGTGCATGCGTGTGCGTGCGTGTGAGCATGTGCATGAGTGCGTGAGCATGTGTGCAGGTATGAGCATGTGTGCATGTGCGTGCGTGCGCGAGAGCATGTGTATGAGCATGTGTTTGTGTGCGCGCGTGTGAGCACGTGTGCGTGTGCAAGCATGAGTGCGTGAGCATGTGTGCATGTGCGTGCATGTGTGAGCGTGTGTGTGTGTGGCATGGTGGCTGGTACTGATCTTCTCAAATAAAGATATTCAAATACATGCTGTCTTAGACCCATTTAATGCATGACTACTTATAGAGAAGACCCAGGGTGCTCTTTTAATAAAGGGGGGGGTGCTCTACTTTTAGTTCACCAAGGATCTACATGTCAGGTGCTTGAAAACTTATAGCTTAAAAGCTAAACTAACAGTGCTCAGCTCTGGGGTCACGACATGCCCGTGTACTGCAATCATTTCTGAGGTGTGCAGATAATTTATTATAATGTTACAAGACATGAATGTTCCAGCGGCTTCCCTGTGAAAACTCCAACTGCTCTAACAGTTGGTGGAAAGCAAGCCCTTTCTTCCATTTCCCGGAAGGCTTGCAGGGTGAGCCTTCCCTGCCCCATGGGGTCCTCCCAGGTTCTTCGGAAAGAAGGGAGCAGAGCAAGGCTGTCCTGGGACAGGGAGTGGAGGATGACGGACTACAGGGGGCCAGGCCATGCACCAAGGGGTTTGGCTGCTCCTCGAACATCAGATTTTCTGGATCTGAGGAGGCCTGTACCTGAGAGAGCCTAAGGGAAACAGGGAAGCAGGCTGGAAGAAATAAAACTTATTCCAGGAGGAAAAAACTTAACAAAAATAACTAGAACTAGAGATTAGACATCTGTCACCTCCAAAATAAGAATAGGATGCTACAAAAGGGGAGTCATTGAGAATAAGAAAGAGCTCTTGGGAATTAAAAATAAGAAAGCAAAATGACAGATTCAAAAGAAGGTTTGGAAGAGCACGTGGAATCTTCCATAAAGTCATGTGAAAAGGCAAAAAGCTGGAAAAGAGAAAAGAGGGCAACGAGAGGTCCACTCTGGAGGAACCACGGCTCGTGCACCAGGAATTCCAGGGGGACCTGGAGGAGATGGAGGAAAGCAGGCCGGAGAAACGAGGAAGGACTTCCCAGGATGGAAGGCTGGGAGCGTTCAGGTCCTGCCAAGGCCAAGCACAGTGTACAGAACGGCCTACTGTGTTGCCTGCAAGCACCAGGTGCAAAAAGAGGATCCTACAAGCTTCCAGAGAGAAAAACACAACCAAACAGAACGAAATCAGGTCCCGCACACAGGGTCAGGATTCGGCATGCTTTGCCTCTGGTGGCGACACGAGGCCAAAAGTCACCGAAGTGCAGCCACCACCACTGGGAAGTGTAGCTCTGGTCCCATCCCGTGATCAGGTGAGAGCAGGACCGCAATGAAGATGCTTTCAGACATCTAAAGACTAAAAGTTACCTCCCTGCTCGTAGCTGTACCCCTGAAAAGGGAGAATAAAGCAAGGAAGAGGAAGATGAGGCAGGCATTCTGGAACCTGGAGACCCAACCCTGGGGGGAAAGAGGCTGGGGAGCGTCCCCAGGGAGATGCCCGCCCGGACACTGGAGAAAGGCCTGGAGTTGAATTCATGATAAGATCACAGGCCCCAGGCAACTCAGCAATCAGGACCACTGTTAACTGGCGGCAAAATAAGAATATGTGCTGGGAAAGGAAAACATAATCAGTTCACCAGAAGGCTCAGCTGGGCATCAAAATCACGCCATCAGAGTAAACCACAGTCCTTATCTCACCTGAATCCTACCGTTCCGGAAAGCCAGGGGATATGGGAAAGAGGTGTGTGCGCCCGTGGGAGACCCAGCTCCTCGCCCGCCCCCCAGCAGAGAGCCAGTAGTCCAGAACTGGGCAGCCGGGAAGGAGCACCACGTGTGCTACTGGAGACACGGAGGCAAACAGTGGCAACGGGCTACAGCAGAAGGTGGCGGCCTCCCTGGGTGTGTGGGTGGGTGCTTCACGGCTGCTTTTCCAAGGCAAACCCTGTCACTCTATGGCGCTCGCAAAGTCTGCCGTGTGTGTGTCAGTGAAGAAAATGAAAATGTTAAAGGAGAAACAGGTGATAGTTCCTATACGCCCAAGTTTGGGGAATCATCACTGAAGCTTGCGCATGATTTAGCGAACAGGTAGAGCCTCCCTGAAAACACGTCCCTGGGATCTGACAGGCTTTCCCAGTGGGAGGCAAAGGCATGCAGTCCCACTCGAGGCCGCAGGGAATGGTGAGGCCCACACAGGGCCTCCCTTCTCGTGTGGGCCATGGCGGGGAGCACCAGCACCACAATCCGCCCCCCTCCACCGTCTTGTCTTCATAGACCCAGGCCTGCCGCCTCGCAGCCCTTGAAGTCAGCCACAACCAACAGAGGAATGTCTCCGTTCCATGTCCCTAAGTGTGTAGGTAGAGCAGTGGTGATGGTACTTGGCCAGAGATGGGCGGGAATGTCTCCTGCGAGACCACTGGTCCATCCTCCATAACCCACAGAGGACCCCATGTCCTGCCAACACATGTCCGAGTACTTGGCAGTTCTAAATTTCCAGCCCCACACAGCACAGTTTCATGTGGGACTGTCCCTAGCTGTAACCCCTGATCTTAACTCCGAGGCAAACGAAGTCCCTCACCTCCACAGCCCCTGCTCTGCAGCTGTGTCCCTGAGGGGCCCTGCCGTGGCACGGTGACGCAGGCCTGCGCTCCCAGGCTGAGACAGCGCTGAGTGCACACCGGGGACGGGCGCTCAGCCAGAGCGGGGGAGCAGAGGGTGTGATGACGGGCCTGCACATGTTCTCTCTGGTTACTGCCCTCACGTGGGGTTTGGCCAGTGAATGACAGGGAGGGCGCTACTGCAGAGGGAGCTCAGGGAGAGGCGGCTGCCCCTTCCTCCAGACACACAACCGGCCCTAACGCCCCAAAAGAGCAGCAGCGTGCTGGCACAGCAAGTAGGTTGAACGAGAAAGGCCCTGGATGGCATGCAGGGTTCTGGTGCATCTATCTGCAGGCACATGGCCTGTGCCGGGGCTGGGGGCGGCCGAGACCAGGCTCCCTCCGGTGGGCACATCCCGGAGGACCCACAACAAGACGAACAGCACAGCAAGCAGACCCTGAGGTGGGACAGCTGCTCCCGCTTGGCAAAGATGAGGTTGGCTTGGGTGCTGTTTTGTTTTCTGGTACTCTTTTTGGTGAGGGTTAGGGAAGTTACAATATTTTACCACATCAATAAACTTTAATTGATATGTGTCTTGTCTCTCAAGAGTATACAACAAGGACTGGGATCATTATCATTATCAATAAGCTGACTTGACTTTCTGTTTTAAGGGCACATGGGAAGAGTCCGCCTCAGGCGGGCCAAGAGCCACACTCACCCCTCAGAGTCCTTCCTGCCATGGGGATCCCAACCCATGGTGCACCCAGGATTGGGCCCTGCTGCCTGGAAGGTCCCTGGGGACATACGTGCCCTCCTCTCTTTCTGAAAAAGCTTTCCGAGAGCAGAACACTGAAATCAAGTAGGTCCTCAAGATAAACAAACATATGCATATGGAACCAGAGGAGCTGATTTCATGGCAAAGAAGCCCGCAGAAGGCCCGGGATGATGCCAGAGATGCCTGACCTTCTGAGAAGGCGCCTAGCAGAGGGGCTTTGGCACCAGCGCCCCAAACTCAGCCACTGACAGAACACCCCACAAAGACCCGCCACCTACCACTTAAAGGGACCGCCAGACCCCTCCCTCAGGGGAGTGGGAGCAAAGACCACAGGACGGTGACAGAGACCCTCCTGACACCCACCGCGCACCGGGACCCTGGTGAGCTGTCCCATCAGCTGATTTCTGAACAAGAGAAAGTCTCTCACAGAGCCCTGGTTGGGTCCCTCAACATGATTCCTCCTCACCCTTTAGTCCTGGAAATCTTAGGTGCCCCCTCAAGGATACACAAGAGCCTGGTCACAGGGGAGGATGATCAATTTTTCCTGTCAACCTCTGCGGTACTTGGGTTTTTACCGCGTGCAGGTATCACCGAAGACAGGACAGATCAACACTGTACTTCCACAGCACCAGCCCGAGCCTGCAGCCCGGGGCGGGCGGGGCCCCTGTGGTCACCGGGCAAGACTGTGGCCTCGACAGGCCCCCCACCGCCCGCTCTGCCCCGTGTCACTGTGCAGGCTGGCTGCGGCACACAAATCAACCGAGCGGTTATTATTACACCCCAGCGCGTCCGGGGCTTTCTGAGCCCGGCCGGCTCGTTCCTCCGCTTTCCTGTCAGCTGCCCTTGGCGCTGGAAGCCGAGCAGGGTGGTTATCGATCAGGCCAGGCTCTCAGCAAGGTTCTCCTCTCCAAAGAGGTTTCAGCTTTTCGCCTGCAGCTATTTTTAGGGGCCTGGGCTCCACAGACGGGGCCTCTCTCAAATGGTCCCGTGTGACCAGCCGGCGTGGAGCCCACAGCTGGGCCAGCCCACGGAGCCCAGGCACGGCCCTCCTGGGGGGCAGGTGTCGGAGGCGGGCACCCCACGCTTCACTCGCCACGCCCGCTCAGGCTAGGGATAAATTCTGGGGCTGGGTGCCTGAAATCCTGCCAGGAGCACAGACCCCTGAGTGAAGCCTTGCCCCCTTTTCAAATGCGATTTCACATGGGGTTCCTATGGCCTCAGTGTACCTTAGCAGCTCTCTTGGCTTGGTGCGGCTGGAACGGAAGAAATGGCTGAGTGAGAAGAGGGTGGCCACATGGCCACATCACATTTCCCTCACTTCACAGTTAGGCCCAGGGCCAGCTGAGCACAGTCCAATCCTTCCCTGGAGGACACACTGGACCATCTACACCCAGGATCGTGTCTGGGCCTCTGGAAGGCCCGAGACAGACACCAGGGCAGGGAGATTCCCCGCCCCCCCTGGGGGGGCTACAGGGACAAGGGATGTGGGAGGGGGTCATCGGGGACCTACCTCAAAGCGGATGGCCCCATTCCCATCGGCGTCAAAGGCGTTGAAGAGGAAGTGTGCATAAGTGGTGGCATCTGGGGAGAGCAAGGGTGAGTGCTGGGGTGTGTTGGGGCTCCCAGGCCAGGCAGCGCCACTGCTGGGTCCAGCTGCATCCAGAGCTGGAGTTCCCCGCCCTTCCAACAGGACAGAGGCAGCACCAGGCCTCTGGCAGGCAAAGGGTGGAGGCAAGGATCCCCTCCCCGTCAAAGTGACACCCACTGTTTGTAGAGCTGCCACAGTGGGGATGTGGGGATTTGGGGAAGAGCCAGAGGGTCTGGCCTCAGACTCACCTCCCTGAGGGAAGAACTGGGAGTAAATGAGTTTGAAGGTGTCTTCATCCACCAGGCCCGTGGGACACTCCTGCAGCAGGAAGTCACCCTTCAGTGACCTCAGCCATGCCCAGCCCCACACCCCAACTCCACAGGGCCTGGCCTCTCTCCTCCCTCTGGGGATACTGCTGCCTGAGATACTGCTGGGCTCTACTGAGCCCCCGAGCTGGGGAAAGCCTGGTGGTGGGAAGGGGTGATGCAGGAGGGGTAAGTGGGAAGTCCCTCCACTCGCTCCTCCCTTGTGCCAGCATTGGGAACACATAGAAAGGATGGTGCCTTCAGAATACTGATTCTGGGACCTGACCAACCCCAGACAGCTCTCCCACAAAACATAAGACCCATAAAGGCCCCTGGGATATTTGCTATGCCATGGAGAAGTTTCTAGAAGGTCTCTCTGGGCCAGGGTCCCGCCTTCCTAGAGCCTGGGACAGGAGGGCTAGGTGGGTCAGGGCCCCTCCCGGAGGGATGGGTAGCACTCACGTTCTTGAAGCCCCTGTAGAGGGACTGTAGCTCCTTCTTGGTGAACTTGGTCTGTGCCTGCAGCTGATCCAGTCCCTCCGGCTGGTGGCGCACTGTGGACAGCTCCAGCTCACTGTCGCTGCTATCTGGAAGGGGACACAGACCCAGGGAGGGTGGAACAAGTGCCCCTGTTCCTCCTCTTGCTCCAATGTGGGAACCAGGCCATGGGCTAAAGTAGGGGTGGAGGGACTCTCCTTACATGACTACCATGTATGGCCCCACAGGCTGTGCACTGCACAAATGGAATGGCTATGGTGGAATGACACACTCAGGAGTTGTGCCTCATGGATGCTCTGCTGCTTTGCTCCTCACACAGAGTAGGCCCCCTCCACTTGCATCTAGAGTGTGTCACCTTCTCAGCTACATGTGGGATGGGGGCTGGGAGCTGGTCTTATCCTAGAGAGGCACTGAACAAAGGGAGGTGGGAGGAAAAAAGACAGCAAGACAAACTCAGGGGACCTCAGCCTTTGAGATCCAATTCCCGGATCACCTTTTCCATGCTGCCCTCCCTGATTTCCCCCAGGAATGTGGAGGTCGCCACTCTTGGCCCATCCAGCCTAACATGTTGCTGCTTGGCTGCATTTGGTGTGAGGGTGTCAGTCACATTTGGGTAGGAGGTCAGACCACAAGGGCCCATAGGGCAGGGACCAGACCTTTCCTTTAATAATAAAATATCCAATAATATTTTAATAATACTTTAATAATAAACACATCCTTTAATAATAACACATCCATGGTTAGTTAATCATGTTAATTAACCACGTTAATTAACCATGGCTATCTTTGCGGGGGGGGGAGTCAATTTCAGGTGATCTTTACTTTTTTATGATTTTTTTTTACATTTTTCTAATTTCTTTTGGAACGGCGTGCATCACTTCTACAACACATCAAGCTATAGACAAAACAGCACTGAGGGCCTCGCTGAACAGCAGGCTCAAAGAATTACAGAACTTCCCACTGAAATGGGGAGCACGATCCACACTGCACTGTCACAGCCCCTGGCCTCCCCTGGTGTCCCGCAAAACAGTAAGCGCATGATTATCTCACAGCTGCTCGCTCGCTCCCACTGCAGGGTGAGTGCTGTGAGCCGCCCTGAGCTGCCCACCCTGTGCCCACAGAGCCGAGTGCAGTGCCAGATGTACAGCACTGTGAACCGGAGCACACTGAGCCCTGTGCTGGGCTGCCCCGCACCCAGGCCTCGCCCACGAGTCCTGCTGGCTCTCACTCAGGCCCACTGTGCCCTGCAAAGTGCCCAGCAATCAGGCTCCATTGCCTTGGTCCACGCATGCTCCCGATCTCCAAGACAGCTCTTTCATACCTTCCTCCTCTTTAAATTCCCAGTGCCTCCTCCCCCATCCTTTGTCAGGTTGCTTCCTACATCACTGAGAAAACAGAAGTCACAGAAGAAAATTTCTCCAAGCTCCCAGCCCCACATCTACCCATCTACCTGTATTGGCCCAAATATCTGCTTTCCCTCCTTCTCTGGGAACGAACTGTCCCGGTTCTTGGCCGAGGCAAACCCCTCCACCTGTACAGTGGGTTCCAGCCCCACTGTCTCAGGCATGGGACAGCAGCAAGCCTCCCCACTCTTTCCTCATCATCTTTTTGCTCTCCCTTCTGGATCACTCCCATCACCATGTGGACGTACTGTTAAATCTGGCAATCCTTAGTCAAATTAAGTATAGGCAAACCTTGCAAGCCACCCACTCTACTCTGTGTAAACATCCCAAATGGAATCTTAGCCAGCTAAGGGGACTGTACAAGGATGTTCAAGGCAATAGTATTTTTGATGGGGGAGTTGGAGGCATCCAGGGCTGAATCACAGGCAGGATGGGCAGACACAACATGGGGGGTGCACACCAGGGAGAACTGTGCAGTGGATTAAAAGGACACACAGTGGCATAAATGGATGTTAAAAATTGGTTGCTTACTTCAACTAAGAGGCAGACATTTCCGAGTGGATGAAAAAGCAAGACCCAACTATATGCTACTTACAAAAAGGATACTCTTAAATCATAGCAACAGATGTAAATTAAAAGAGTGGAATGAATAAAAAATCTGGTGTGGCTACATTAATAGTAGAAAAAGTAGACCTCAAGACAAAGGGTACAACTAGAGACAAAGAGGAGTATTTTATAATTAATTCATCAAGAAGACAGAGCAATATGAAATATATACATATATCTAATAACAACTTTAAAATACCTGAAGCAAAAAAATTCAAAACTAAAGGGAGAAACAGATAAACCACAGTTACAGTTGAAGATCTTAACACGCTTTTCCAGTAAATGGTACAAGTAAAGATACAAGATTTGAAAAACACTATCAACCAATTTGATCAAATTAATATTTATAGAGCCCTATGCCTAACAACTATAGAATACACATTCTTTTCAGGAGCACATCCTATGGTTCCCAACATATACCAGATGCTGGAATATAAAGCAAAACTCTGACCACAATGGTATTAGATCAAAATCCCAAAAAACAAGATAGGTAAAAAATCCCAAATGCTTGGAAATTAAACAACACACTTCTAATATACCCATAAGTCAGAAAGGAAAATCACGAGGAGAGTCTTGAAATATTTTGCATTGGATGATAATAAAAATACAGGATACCAAAATTTTCCGGATGCAGGTAAAGCTGCATTTAGAGGGAAATTTATAGCTTTAAGTTACTTTATTAGAAAGGAAGATGGGTATAAAGTCAATGATATAAACTTCTAGATCTAAGCTTTTCAGAATCCAGAAAAAGAGTAAACTAAGTTCAAAGTTATTAGAAGAAAGGAGATAATAAAAATAAGAGTGAAAATCAGTGAGAAAGAAAACAGACCAACATAGTGGAAAAACCAATAAAGTTATTAAGAAACCCAATTAAGCGAGCCATAGTCAAGGAACACATATGTGCGGTACATATATCCATGGTACATGAGCCTTATATCTTATACAAAAATTAACCCAAAATGGAGCATGGATTTGAACATAAGACATAAAACTATAAAGCTTCTAGGAAAAAAAGACACAGGAGGAAATTTTTATGGCCTGGGTTTAAGCAAAGAGTTCTTTTTTTTTTTTTAAGATTTTATTTATCTATTTGAGAGAGAGAGAATGAGAGATAGAGAGCATGAGAGGGAAGAGGGTCAGAGGGAGAAGCAGACTCCCTGCTGAGCAGGGAGCCCGATGCGGGACTCGATCCCGGGACTCCAGGATCATGACCTGAGCGGAAGGCAGTCGCAACTGAGCCACCCAGGCGCCCTAAGCAAAGAGTTCTTAGACACAACACCAATAGCATGATCCATAAAAGAAAAATTGTTAAGTTGTACTTTTTATTTTATTTTATTTTTTGGGTAAATTGTACTTTTTAATAACAATTAAAACGTTCACTCTGCAAGAGATAAAAGAGATAAAAAGGTAAACTACAGACTGGAAGAAAATATTTGCAGGTCATATATCCGACAAAGGATATCCACATTACATGAAGAACTCTCAAAACTCAACAGTGAGAAAACAACTCAAACTAGTAAGTGGGCAAAAACTTGGTCAGACACTTGACCTAGAGGACATACGGGTGGCAAGTAAGCACATAAAAGGTGTTTAACACCACTTGCAATTGTGGAAATACAACCTAAAACCACAAGGAAATGCTACTACACACCTCTTAGAATCACTTAACCAACAAATATTGACAATACCAAGGGCTAGTAAGGATATGGAGTAACTGGAACCATTACACTTTGCTGGTGGGAATGAAAATGGTACTGCCCATCTGGAAATCAGTTTGGCAGTTTCTTATAAACATACACTTACCAAATGACCCAGAATTCCTACTCCTGGGTATTTACCCATATGAAATGAAACCTATTATAGTTACACAATAACGTTTATGCAAATGTTTAGAGCAACTTCATTTATGATCACCCAAAGCTGGAAATAACCCAAATGTCCTCAACCAGTGAATGGATAAACAGCGTGTGGTGCATTCACACGGTGGAATACCACTCAGCAATAAAAGTGACCGAACTATTGATACATGCAGCAACGTGGATGGACCCCAAATGCACGAGCTAAGTGAACGAATCCAGACTATGCAGTGTATGACTCCACTTAAATGACATTCTGGAAAAGATAAGATTGCGGAAATCATAGGGAAAGACAATCTGTCAGTGGCTGCACGGGGCTGTGGCACATGGGACATGTTGATGACAGAAAAGGCAGCAGGAGAGAACTTTTTGTGTGATGGAATTGTTCTATACCTTGACTGTGGCCGTGCTTACATTACTATGCATTTGTCAAAATTCATAGAACTGGACACCAAAAAAGGGGAACTCTACTGTATGTAGATCAGAAACAAATGAAATAGAAACTAGAGTAATTGCCTATTGGAGCAGAAGGAAATGGGGGGATAAAAGGGAAAAAATAAACAAAATAAGAGAGGGTTTAAAAGGGTCAAGACTGATAATGTCTCATGAACTAAAGAAGATGAATAACTTAATCCTCTGTCCCTAAGGGTCAAAAAATAAAACAAAAGTCCCAAACCTGTTGCTATTTCTTCCTCAACCCTACTGTCCCCTCCAGCTATTTCTTTCTTCTCTTCTTCTTTAACTCACTGTCTTTACTTCCTCTCCTATTCTCCCTTGAACTTAACTCCTATGGGGCATTGACCCCACCAGTCCACACAAACTGCTTTTCAAAGAATCACCAGTGATCACCATATTGCTAGTCCAGTGATCAGTACAGTAATCCCGACTCCTAAGTCATAGAAGGGCCATACAAGAATGAAAATTACAGTGACACCAAGAATGGACCTTGGGGGCATTATGCTAAGTGAAATAAGTCGGGCATAGAAAGACAAATACTGTATGACCTCACTTACATGTGGACTCTAAAAAAAGCCAAACTTACAGACACAGAGAGGGGACTGGTGGTTGCCAGGGCAGGGGGTGGGGGAGATGAGGAGATGTTGGTCACAGGGTACAAACTTCCAGTTATAAAATGAGTAAGTTATGGGGGGTCTATGGACAGCATGTTGATTTCGGTTAAGAATACTGTGTTGTATACTTGAAAGTTGCAAAGAGAATAGATCT